CAGGCGTTGGGAGCCACGTACCTCTTGGAACCGGGCTCTGGCGTCCTTGGTGCCGGGGAATCCCCCTCCGATGTCCAGGAGGTGCATCCGGTGGCCCAGCTCGGTGCCGATCTCAAAGGCCAGCTGCGCCGCAGCCACAGCCTGAGCGAGGGCCTGGGGCTCCAGCCCGCCGCTCCCGAGGTGGAAGCTGAGGGCACAGTCCCTGTTTCAGCAGGGTTCACCCATTCCCAGAGGGGACACGGCGCTGGGATTGTCACTGGGGGCAGCTCTCCTCTTCCCCCACGCCATCCCAAGCCAGACTGCCTGCCCGGCCCCACAGAGCTCCCAGACCCTTTCTGAGCACCAAACCTGCCCCAAATTGGTCCCAACAAGGGTCAGTCTCCCCAGGTCCCTGCCTTCACCTCACTCCCAGCCAGAGCAGCTGGTGGCTCCACGGACCCCTGTGTTGTCCCAGCAGGTCAGAGCTCCCCACAGTCCCCTCCAACGTGGGCTAAACTCCCCCACGGAGAAAGAACCATGCGCTGTACCTGATGCCAACAACCTCCACAGCCTGCTCCTTCGCTGTCTCGAGCAGGTGCCGGCAGGACTTGAGCACAGTCCCAAATGTCATGCTGGGATGGGCAGAAGGGCTGGAGTCAGCAGCAATTCCCAACAACATCCTGCAGAGCAAAGCCACGCTGTGTTGAGGGGTCTTCAGGCCCTCTGCCACCCCACAGCCATCTCCCCAGCTCCAGCCCCTCGTGCCAGCGATGCCACCACACACCCACCTGGCACGAGGGTGGCTCCTGGCCACCTTGCTCAGCTCCACCTCATTGTCGAAGGTCATCAGCTGCACGCCGTGGTCGGCTGCGTATCTGATGTGGGCAACCTGCTTGCAGGGGCTGCTGTAGAAGATCTTGTCAGCCGGGACTCCGATGCTTTGAACCCGTGCAATCTCTGCCTGCAGGGAAACGGCACGCGTGTGGGCAGGTCCCCAGGACCAGCGCTGCCTGTGCTGGGCCACCATCAGCCCTGGGCCTCAGCCAGCTTGCGGCACTGCAAAGGGCAAACCGCCAGCGTTGCAGCCTGGGCTTTTCCAAGGAAAATCTGCAAGAGCTCAAAGGGAACACAGGGAACTTTGTCCTGGCAGGGGCAGGTTGTGGTAAGATGTTTACAAGCGGCATGAGATCAGGAGGAAAGAAAATAAGTGGGTTTAGCAGGCGTGGGTTTGGTGCACGTGTCCCCTGCGAGTGGCAGTGAGGGTGACGGCTGCAGTGCTGGTCTGAGCTGTCACGACTCTGCACTTTCTCCTGGTAACCCGCCCTGTTTAATTACACACAAGTAAGTGGCTTAGCTTTGGTTCCTTCCTGGAAATCTGGCTACTGCAAATGACAAGCAGGAGGGAGCAGGAAGCTTTAGGCTCAGCCTTAAAGCCACCAAGAGTTGGACGGCTGTGGCAATGCCACCCCAGGGACAGGTCTTGCCACCAGCCAGGACACCAGTCCCAGAGACAGGAATGTCGGGCAAAGGGAATGTCTGGTCTGAGACAGCAGACAGAGATGCCAGGGATTTCTGGGCTGTGTTGGGAGGGTTCTGACAGCAGAGGGAGACTCCTGCCCCTGTAAATGTCATCTAGGGAGTGGACACTTAGGAAAGGAGGGTGAGCTCTGCCACTCTCCCACAAACACCCAAAGGATGCTCACAGGGAGCTGTTCTCCCACAGCCCTACCTTGCTGGTACAGGCAAAGCCGGCCCCCAGCTCAGCCAGCAGCCGGATCACTCCTTCGCTGCCGTTGCACTTCACCGGGAAGTAGGGTTTCACACGGGGCAAGGCCTTCAGGAAGCGCAGGTGTTTCTTTACAATGTCCCCAAGGTCTGCCACGAAGAAGGCTTGCTGGTCGCTCTAGGAGAAAGCCGGGGTGAGCAGCAGTCGCCTCCCTACCATGGGTCTGTGGGTGGGTGCTGGGTGCCCTTACTGCCTGGCACAGCTCCGCGAGAAGGTTCTCCAGGAGGTCTCTGGCGGTGAAGCCCTCCTCCACCATCATGAAGTTGGATTCGTTCAAGTACCCATTCATGGCCAAGGTGTGAGGACACTGGTTTTAAGCCTCCTCAAGTAGGGGATAGTTTCTAAGTATGTAACATGCTGGAAAAAGAAAGAGAATATTAAAGGCAGGGCTCCAGAAGCTCCACCAGCGTACATCGCCCAGCCTGCACCCCGGAGTGCTCCCCGTCCCTCCCACGGGCCGTCCATGGCCGTGCTGCCCTGGGCAGAGCTCTCCACTGCTCTCCTCCAAGCCAGCGCCTCCGCCGAGAGCCCTGCTGTGGGTTAAAGCATCTTCTCCAGGGAGATGAGACATGTTTCTCTGCAGCTCAGAGCTTTGTTTTCGCACGCAGCAGCCCTGTCTTCTTCAGCAGCAGTTCAGGCACCAACACAGTTAACAACAAAGCCAACTTCACTGCCAAGGGGATGGCCTGCATCTGCCAGAACACACTCCGCCATGCTCCGGCAGGTAGCTAGATCTGCTGTGCGAACTGGGTGAAGTTCCCTTGTGGTTTTCAAATAGCTCAAATCTCACGGACCCACCTTCCCAGGCACACAAGCCCCATGAGAAGGGAGGCACGGGCCACTCGCTGACACCAGCCAACCTGGGGCTGGTCTGGATACGTGCTGCGGTTCCGGTTTCACATCGCTGCCATGACACAGGGTGTGGAACACGGGGACAAGTTAAGCTGCACAGCGTTTCTTGGCTCGCACGCTTAGCGGAGCTTTATCTCTAAGCTCACACACCTAGTTCTAACAACCACCTCCCTTGGATCCAGCCCATCTCATAACCCAGGGAGCTGACAACTCACAAGGGCAAGCTTGCAGGAAACATTTCCACTCCAACAATCCAGGTCTAGCTCCAGGGCTCTTACAGGAGCACAGTCTGATCTGAAGTGATCAGGAGACAGAAGTTTCATTTCTCAGAGCTGCACATCACCTCCTCCTCTGCAGAGACCTACTTACGACATTTCGGATGGGCACGAGGAGAAAGACCACGCTGACCCCAGAGCAGCAGGGTGTTGTAATGCATTGAGCAAGCAACACCAGCAAAGTTCGGAGATGGGGAATGGGGAGAAAAACTGGGTTTTGAAACATCTAGAGCTTCAGGAAGGGAGAGAAAATCCTCCAGCCTTACGCTTCACTCCCCAAAGACATCACTACCAGCACCCAGAGACGATGAGCAATTAAATGGGTCATTCCTGGAACCCTGCGCAAACATTTCCCAGCTTCAGACATCCCCTCCTTACCAAGGTCCAACACCTCGCTCTTGGGTGGCTAGGCGTGCTGCCAGGGTGGCCCCCCGAGGAACGCCAAACTCCCGCAGCACCCCAAGGCGTAGCTGTTGCTGGGGGTTGGAGGTCTCTGTGGAGAAACAGTGCAAGGAGTTAGGAAGGGAGAGGAGCGCTGACAGCAGGATGCCCTCCACCCAGCATTCCCAAAATTCAGCATCCGCAGGCATCCCTCAGCAGCCCCCTCTTCACTGTGCCAGGCAAGCCAGCTTGCTTCCCTGGCAGCCCCATGCAGTCGTGCCCCCTTCTGTTTACCTTAGAAAGCATTTAAACAGGTTATGCCCATGGATTTCCCAAGAGAATTAACTGGTCCCAGCGGCAGCTGTTCGTCCTGCCCCTGTTCCCTGCCTGTCCCAAGCCCCTGGACCAGCTATCCCT